CTCTCGACATCCATTTGTACACATATTCGTGTTTAGTGACTTTAATGTCCACCATAACCTGTGGCTTAAACACTCTGTAACTGACCTTGCTGGCACTCAAACCCTTAACTTTTCAATCACTCAATCCCACATGCAGGTGGTTGACTTTCCTACACGTTTCCCCAGTAATCTGGACGTTAACGCTTCCCTTCTCGAACTTCTTGACTCATCCAGAGTACCCACACTTGATTTTTCCCCTAACTGATGCTCTATTGAGTGAGATGAGCATAACCCCATAGTTGGTATTGGATATCATCTCTAAGTTAGACTCTCATAAAGCAAGTGGTGGTGATGGGATACCAGCCGTAGTCCTAAAGAAATGTGCTCCTGAGTTGGCTCCAGTCCTTTCCAAACTATATAACTATTGCCTCACTGATTCTTGCTTTCCAGCCTGTTGGAAGTCCTCATCTGTTGTCCCTGTTTTTAAGAATTCTGGAGACCGTTCTGACCCATCTAACTACTGTACTGTCAGTCTCCTACCAATCTTCGGTAAGGTTTTCGAGGCTTTAATCAATGCTGAAATGGTTAATCACCTTACCTTAATGATCTACTCTCTGACAAACAATATGCTTTGCGCTTTGCTCAGTCGACCGCCGACTGCTTACGGCCATAATTGAATTTGTATACCAAGCTCTTGATAATAACGGCGAAGCTCGAACTGTGGCTCTAGATAGGGTTTAGCATTTCGATCTTCTACGTAAGCTTCCGGGATACTTTATTACAGGACGATTATTTCATTTAATCCAATTATTCCTGTCAAACTGTGAAATGAAGGTCGTTCTAAATGGGTTCTCCTCCTGTTACATTCATATGAACGCTGGTGTTCCCCAAAACTCTGTCCTGGTTCCTACACTGTTTCTGATCTTAACTAACGATCTTCCTGATGTCATAAGTTCTCAAGTAGGCATCTACGCAGACAATACTATTTATTCCGGTCTCAGTAGCAAATCCGGCATTCCTGACAATGTTAACCTGGCCGTTAGTCTTGAAAAGGACTTCCCATCTGTGGTTGACTGGGTCAGGAAATGGCTTGTAAATCTTAATTCCTCCAAAAGAAAACTGCTTTCATTTACCCACCATAGAGAAATCACTCTGCCTTCTACCAGCATGGCTGATGTTCAACTTTACGATGGTGTCTCACGGCTCCTTCTTGGTATCACGTTTTCCCCTGACCTGTGATGGAACAACTATATTGAATCAATAGCTACATCTGCCGCAAGGAGAGTTAGTTCTCTACGTCACGCCAGAAAGTTTTTTCTCGTCTGAGTCCATCCTTAAAATCTACAAATCTACCATTCTTTCTCACATTGAATACCGTTCCCATATATGGTCTGGGATCCTCGGTGCTTATCTCGAGGTCCCCGACAAAATCCAAAGATGGATATGCAATGTGATAGGTCCTGACCTGGCATCTCGACTCCAGTCACTTTCTCACAGACGTGATTTGACTTCCCCCCTGTCTTTTCTACAAATATTTTCATGGCAACTGCTATTTTCACTAATACCCCAACTGCATGAATTTAAGCGTGCTACCAGGTTGGCATCTCAGTCCCACCCTTTTACTGTCGAAACAGTTAAATATAACCGTCTCTTCTACTCAAACAGCTTTTTGCACTTCCCAACATTGGAACTCCCTTCCTCTTAATTGCTTCCCTGATAACTATAATATTTAAAAGTTTAAATGTAATGTCAGTCGACATCTTCTGATGCTTTGATCTTGATCTTCACCCTTATCTTTATCCTTTCCTCAAATACCCCTCTTTTCTCTTACCTTCTCTCTCTGTAAACCCTTGGGTCCTAGTGGCACTCCCGCCTTGCTAGGGGTTAAATGCTTAAAAAAAATATTTGTTTCTTTGTATTCCCTATTATTCTTAAGTTTCTTGGCTACTCTCCTATTCTTAAGATTGGATCGGAATAAAAGTCTACGGCGCTTTTAAGAGAATTTCAAATAGATTATTTAAATATTTTACATAGGTTTTATTTTTCAACTACAATTACGACATCTTGTTCTACTACATTTTGCCATCTTTGCGACAGCTTCATGATTCTAGCCTCCTAGAAATTTGCATCTTTCTGGGAGATGATTTGATCTAGGTCAATGATTCCCAACGTGGGGCGCATGTTCCACCAGTAGGTCATGTTAAGATTTTGGTGCAGCATGCGTAGGATGTGCACCCTTCAGCTTACTATACCAACAGAATAAGGGTGCAATTCGAGAATGAGTTATTAACAGTGTATTGTTTTCTAGTGAGTCTGAGAGTGTTAATGTTAATGTGTGTCAATACATACGATGTATATACAGTATGCATACATCAAAATATTTTGTGTGTATACGTACATATGTAATTGGCATACATTTAAGAATTAAATATTCCAAGGGCCACCAGAATTTTAGAAATAGCAAAGTGGGGCCTGACTCCAAATTGGCTGAAAACCACTGGACTAGACTAATCACAAGAGA